TGGCAGTGATTCCCAGATGTCCCCCACTGTAGAAGTTGGGTTTTCATTCTTGCCTTTTTTTTTTTTTAATTTTAGAGCGAGAGAGAAAGCATGAGGGGAGAGAGGCAGAGGGAGGGAGAGAAGATCCCAAGCAGGCTCCACACTGTGAGCACAGAGCCCAATCTGGGGCCCGAACCCATGACCCTGAGATCATGACCTGAGCTGAAATCAAGAGTCGGGCGCTCAACTCACTGAGCCACCCAGGTGCCCCCCGTTCTTGCCTTTCTTGTTTGTCCTTCCCCTTGGTTAATTCTGTGAGAACACATAAAAGTTCACCATAAATGTAGCGTGAAGCTGAATTCACCCTGTGTCTGTGGGCTGTGGGCCTGGGTGACCCCCCCACCTCCACTGTTAAGGATACATAGACCTTGAAAGACGAATCAATCACATATTTGCTGCTAGTAAGCAATGCTTGAGCACTAGCTGGATACGTTGTGTTTTAAGTGGTGATTATCAAGGAACCCGGGGACTGAGGAATGCCCGGCTGCTTTTTGAAGGACCCAGCAATGGCTGGTTGCTTTCCCAGGCTGTTGCTTCACACCCCTTAAGTCTGGACACCTTGCAGCCCACTTGCCACCGCTGGGGCCATTCTGGCCATAACCTCTGTCTGACCCAGCCATCCCGTGCCCATTCTGTGGAGGGAGGAAGGGCGTGCAGGGCCCGCACATCCCAGACTGGGTGCTTTCCCTTGAGAAACAGCGTGGGTGCAAGTTTGGGCTTGTGGGGTGATTTGGCAGAGCCTTTGTTTGCTGACTGTTGACTAAGCCCAGGTGTGCAGACACAGTGTTTACAGAATCCTGGTGGCTCAGGCCGGAATGAAGAAAGTAGCTACTCAGGGGAGGGGGAAGTGTCGTGGATAATCCAAAAGCCATTTGTTTAGGGCCTGGAGCCAGAGATAAGGTATTTTTGCAGATCTCCCTAAATGAATCAGACTGGAACTCCTTTTAAGGTGTGCCTACAGCGTACATTGGCGGCTATAGGGAATGAACAGTCCCTAAAATTCAGTTCATACACCTGTGGACCATCTGGGGCCTTAGGGTGGACACAGAGGATGTTAGAGGAGGAGAGGTCTGGAGATTATTTAGTCCTCGCTGCCCATTTTTCAGATGGGAAGCTGGAGGCCCAGGAGGCAAAATGACTTGCCTAAGGTCACTTAGCTGGTTACTGATGAAGCTAAATCCAGAATCAAAGGTTTCATAATGCATCACCCTGTAAGATAGCGGTCCTTACGCTTCACTGGGCACCAGAATCATCTAGAGAGCTTGTTAAAATGCAGATTCCCAGACCACGTCCCCAGAGATTCTGATTTCGTAGTGGGCGGAAAATATATGTTCTTAGCAAACACCTTGGGGTAGTCTGATACCACTACCCTCTGGGATACTGTTTTTTATTTTTTAATGTTTGTTTACTTTTGTGTGTGTGAGAGAGAGAGGGAGAGAGAGAGAAAGCGGGGGAGGGGCAGAGAGAGAGGGAGACACAGAATCCAAAGCTGGCTCCAGGCTCGAGCTGTCAGCACAGAGCCCGATACAGGGCTCGAACCCATAAACTGTGAGATCATGACCTGAGCCGAAGTCGTACATGTAACCGACTGAGCCACCCAGGCGCAGAGATGCAGACAGCTCAGGAGATGAGAGCATGGGGTTACACCCAGCCTTTAAACCTCTTGCAAATAATTAGGGTGTCAGGAGATTTGGCAGGCACACCGGTCTCTGCCATGGGAGGCCATGCAGGTTGGAGGTGGCTCAGCCCTGGACAACCTCTAGGTCCCACATGACTCCAGAAAGTGGCTCTGATCATGGTAGACGGCAGTGATTTACAGTTCTGGGTGATGGTGAGGATCAGCCGACACTGTGCCTGGGCAACATCGCCCACCACTCCGTGAATGGCAGGCTCTCTGACGATGCATCCGCTCGGGGAGGGGGAGCGAGGGTGGGTTTCTGCTGAGCGTCATTATAGAATGCACTTCCGCCGAGGATTTCATACAAGGAAAGGGGTTTGGGTCTGTAGCTAAGAGGGTACCGGTCCTTCCAGCCCTAGGGAACTGGGCTCCGGCCGCTTCCTTCTGCAGAGACACCATCAGGGTTTGTAACTAGTACAGTGGTCCCTTTCTCTGGCCTCGGTTCATCCCCGACCCCACCCCTGTCCTTGCACCCCTGGGAGATTTCACAGATGGGAAAGCAGGCTGTTTCTGCTTCCAGAGTGGAGACCGAGATACCTGGAGGCAAAAAAGGCAGGCTATGGGATGCCGCAGAGCCCCTGCACCCTTGCTCTGTCAGATTTGAGGGCCAGGGCTACCCGCCCGGGCTGGCCAGAGGCCCTTCCCCACACTCCGTTCCAGGAGCTGGTCCTGCCTGCGAGCGGGAGGGCCCTGCCTCCGCCAGCGTGCCTGCCTGCCTGGTTCTGGCCACTTCTGCTGCCGGTCAGGTCGGCCTGACCTCACCTTTGCCACACGAGACGGCATAAAAACAATTCTGGGCCCAGAAGGGGAAGAGGGAAAGGGTTTGGGGCCTCCAGTGGCCCTGCCTAGTGAAGGGAGTGGCCTGCACGGGCTGCGAGAAGGACAAGGCTGGCGTTTGTGCGGTTAGTGTGTGCGGAGGGGTGTGTGGCTGTAATTTTTTTTTTAAATGTTTTTATTTATTTCTAGGAGAGAGAGAGAGACGGCATGAGCAGGGGAGGGTCAGAGAGAGAGGGAGTCACAGACTGAAACAGGCTCCAGGCTCCGAGCTGGCAGTCAGCACAGAGCCCGACGCGGGGCCCTAACCCACGAACCGCGAGATCATGACCTAAGCGAAAGTCGGACGCTTAACCCACTAAGCCACCCAGGTGCCCCAGTGTGTGGCTGTGATTTTAAAAACACCGCTTCGGAGTAAGGTGAAGGGAGAAATGAATTGGCTGGCTGGGAGCATTCAGGAAAAATCTAAGGAAGGTTGTTGTGTCCTGTGGCCATATGCGTGAACGGGTCTGCGTGAGCTGGTGTGTGTAGCACACGCACGCGCGTGAGCTGCTCTGGAATTGCTAGCGTGTGCACCACACGGGGAGGGAGCACTGGCCCAGGAGCCTGGGGTCAGTCACATCGCAGGCTCCGTGACCTTTGGCAGCAGGCACCATCTGGAAGGGAGACCATGAGGTTTCTTCCTGGCTTCCCACCCCGGCCTCTCTAGAGGGCGTGTGCGGGCACATGGCTGTCTGGAGGGAGGCAGGGTGGACAAGTGAAGGCCTCAGGTGGGGAGGGGACGCCCGGCGGCTGGCTCCTGGGTGCCTCAGGCTGTGGAAGGGGAGCTGTGCTCTGCACAGACGGAGGAGGGGCCAAGGCGAGGAGGGGGGAGCCGCCTGTGGTCGGGGAAAGTAGCCGGCCTGCTAAGTGGCTCTAAACAATCCCATCTGCTGTCTGGGCTGGCCCTTCTTGCTGGCGTGGAATTTCTGATGGTGTCTTGGCTGCCAGAGCGGGAGGGCCACGGCCCTCCCAGCCACAGCTGCTGCCTGTTCTTTGGAAGCTCAGGGCCAACCGCCCCCTCCCCAGCCTCTGCTTCCCTGCCCTGAGCCTGCATTCCTCAGCTGCCGCAGGCAGCCCTTCTGAGGAGGCCGCTCAGCCCGGGGCCTGCGCTCCCGCGGCGGGTAGCGAGCCCCTACCAGAGCGCCCAGGCGGAGCGGGCGGGCCTGGGCGACCCAGACCCTGGCAAACTCCAGTCACCGCCCCCACCCGACGCCCCACGAGGAAACACAGCAGAGAATGGGCAGGAAGGGGGCCACAGAGCCCCCAGCCTGAGGTCCTGAAGGCCCCTAAGGGGAAGCCTTTGTGCTGTACACCGTCCCTTCAGGGCTGGATTCAAGATCCTAACCTCAGGTTTGGCTTGGGCCAGGCTCTAGACTCAGCGCCTGAGAACTGGGTGGCCTTAGGGCCTTACCAACAGCTGCCCCGGGCTGAGAGCGTCCCGTGTGGGGCCTGTGTGTGCCCAGGGCATGAATTCCCCTCAGAGAGGGACCCATCCGCAGAGGGACAGGCGACCTGTTCTACGGGCGACGAAACTCACTCAGAGAAGCTGCACTCAGCCAAGCAGTGGTGATCAGAATGTAGGCCGAGGTCGGCCAGAGCTAAAGCTCTGCTTGTAACCTCTGTGCTTTACGGCCTCTTGTCCCTGACTCCACACTATTCAAAAACCAACTTGTGGGGGCACCTGCGTGGCTCAGCCAGTTAAGCATCTGACTTCGGTTTAGGTCATGATCTCGCGGTCAGTGGTTCGAGCCCCGCGTCGGGCTTTGTGCTGACAGCTCAGAGCCTGGAGCCTGTTCGGATTCTGTGTCTCCCTCTCTCTTTCCCCCTCCCCCACACATGCTCTGTCTCTGTCTCTCTCTCTCTAAAATAAATAAATGTAAAAAAAAAAAAACCAACCAACTTGTGGGAGTGCCTGGGCAGCTCAGTCAGTTAAACGTCTGACTCTTAATTTTGGCTCAGGCCATGGTCTCACAGCTCCTGAGATCAAGCCCCATGTCGAGCTCAGCACCCGACATTCTCTCTCTCTCTCTCTCTCTCAAAATAAATAAATAAACTGAAAAAAAATCTAAGTTAACTTAAAAAACAAAACAGAACAACAACTTGCGCTTTCCTCTCTGCAGGGAGCTTCCTGGCCAGACCTGCCCCTGCCCTGCCCCAGGGGGCCCCCACTCTAAGGTCCCCTACACCCCGTAGCGGTCTAACCTCTGAACCGGCTGTGGCATGGGCCTTCATTCTGCCCCGTGAGGCCACCAGGGTTGCGCGGGTTCCTGAGCATGAAGGGGCGCTGTGAGAGGGGGGACGCCAGGTTCCCACTGAGTCAGGACTGCGGGAGACCTGCTGAAATAGTAGAGTCCGAGATTCTCAGGACTACAAAAATTCTAGAGTCGGAGGCTCTGTGGTTCGCTTTTTTCACACACTTTTCTTCTGTCACCATTCAGTTTTTGTTTTTTGTTTTCTTTTGTTTTAGAGACCCAGTGTAAGGTGGAGGTTAAGAAGAGCATGGACTCTGGGGCCAGACCGTTTGGACTCAGATTTTGGCTCCATCACTGACTGTGACCCCACGTAAGTTATTTGAACTCTCTGGGCCTCAGTTTCCTTATCTGTAAAGTGGGTATAATAATTGCTTTACTTTGAGACTTGGATGACATAATGCATGCCAAGTGCTTAGAAAGTAGATGGCATACAGTTCACATTCCGACGTTTGCTATAATTATTATTAGAAAGTAATTCACGTCCACTGTAAATAATATACATATGCAAAAGGAAGATTAAAACGTCACTGGTAATGCTGTCTCTTTGCTATTCTTTATAGGCTCTTATTTTATTATTATCTTTTTTTATTTTTTAGAGAGAGAGAAAGATGAGCAGGGGAAAGGGGGTGGGGGGAGAGAGAGAGAGAGAGAGAGAGAGAGAGAGAATCCTAAGCAGGCTCCACACTCTGCATGGAGCTCAATGGGGGGCTTGATTCCACAACCTTGTGATCACGACCCAAGCTGAAATCAAGAATCAGATGCTCAACCAACTGAGCCACCCAGGTGCCCCTACTTATTTTCCTTTTAAATTAATAAATGAATGTGAATCAAAACTTAAAAGATCTACAGAGGTTTACAGAGAAGTTTTCCTGGTCTGTCTCTTAGGACCTAATCCTTCCAGTGGAAACCTATAGAATTGGTTTCTTATGAATCCTTTCCGAGTGTCTTCTCCATACACACTGACATACACGCACTGTAACGCACCATAGTGCAGTCTGTACCCACATTCCCCTTAGCGAAGGGTCTTGAGCATAGAGACACATAAATATGCTGCATTCTGTTCACTCTTGTGTAGTATTCCACTATACACAGTATACGAATTCCATAGAAGTGGGGTTCGTGGATCGGCGGGTGGGTGCACAGCGTGTGTTAGTGTGGGGGAAATGGGGCAGGAGACGGACTTCTCTGCCCACCCTGGGCACCCCTCCCTAACCTTGGCTCCTTGGCCTGGATTCCCGGGCATGCTCAGATACCAAATCGTGTGGCGGCATTGACTGACCGGCCGTCCCCGGGGGCCCAGAGACATCTGTGACTGTCTGGACTTGAGAGCTCCGTCCCAGATGGCACAGGCCCTGCCTGTGGAGGGGTCTTCAGCCTGACCGCCTGAAGGAGAGGCCCAGGGAGGGGCTGCCGGCCCCTCTCCCCCAAGGCGCTGGGCCCGGGCCAGCATGAGCTCACGTCTGGAGCCAGCCCAGCTTTACTGCCTTGCACCTGAGCTGCCCGGGGCGCCCTTCTCCGGGTCTGGGCCACTGACTGGGCCCCAGGTACACATACATGGCTGCCAGCCCTGCGGGGGGGCTTCGGTCCCCTAGGTAGGTCAGCGGGGAGCAGCCCCCGCCCCGTCCACTGAGGCCTGATCTCCGGGGCGCCTCAGCTAAGCCGGTACAGTTTGTTGACGGGGAGAGGGATGATTGTGGAAATCGTTTTTCAGCAGCTCAGGTGGAAGCAGAAAACAGTTGGTCGCCCAGGCAACTAGCACCCTCGGTGGGGTGCGGAAAGGGGTTTGGTAAGGAGGCTGCCCTGGGTCTGGCTTTCCTTCAGGACGAGGCTTTGCCTGCCAGCGTCCCCTCCCCCTTCCCTCACTCCCCCAACACAGACACCAGGCATCCCCAGCCTCTTGAAGGGCAGCTCTGCCCCATTGGGACTCAATTCAGTCCACAGTGATGGCGTTCGTGCCACGCGCCTGGCTCTAGGAGTACAGAGGGGTGGCTGAGCTGGACGGGTGTGTGGTGCTGGCTCTGGAGTCAGACCTCCCGGGCCTCGAGGTCAGCCTGGCTGTGCGACCTTAGCAAGTTACTCGGCTTTTCTGTGCTTTGTTTTTCTGTCGGTGAAGTAGAAACCGCAGTGACCACCCGCACCGCATAGAGCCGCAAGGAGGGGATGAAATGAGTTAACGTGCATAAGGCGCTTGGAATATGGCTACTTGTAAAGAACTGGGTGACAGGGTTATGTTCCCATTTTCCTACCAAGATGCGCCGCGCACGTGACATGTTCCTCGCGCCCAAGGAACTTCACCTTGGGCCTTTTCAGCTGGACCGCAGAAGCGGTTTCCTGACAGCAGCCACGCCCTGCATGGGGGCCTCAGGAGCTGAGAAGACGGACAGTGCCCTTGGGACCGAGGCTCCCACAGGGGCCCGTGCTTCCATAGGGGAGGGACCATGTTAACCCCTTGCCCTAGGTCTTCCCGTATACGGCTCCTGTTGGCCACAGACCTGGCCGTGGGAGTTGAGGCAAGAGAGAGGAAAATTAGGAAAGACAATGTCATTCTTTAACTTTTTTCTCTTCTACAGACTTTTAAAAGATTTTTTTCTGGGGAGAAGGGATTTTTTTTTTCTTTTCTGCCCCAGCCTTAGACTGGGCTGAACCATGGGGTATGGCCCAGAGAAGGTAAGTGGGCAACCCAAGGTCACACAGCAAGACATGACAGAGCTGAGTCTGTCTCTCCCTCTCTCTTCCCTCTCCTGTCAGGTCCAGCCAGGCGTCCTTCCCCCTGCCCCTCCCCTGTGGCTGTGCCCGAGGGTCTTCTCTGCCCAAGTGCCACCCAGAGGGGGGCACAGGTGTGGCCGCCCAGCAGCCCAGTCGCCTCAGAATGAGGCTGGCTTTGTCGCAGCCCCAGCAGCTGTGGCCGCTTGAGTTTGCATTGAGCCTTTTCCGCGCCTTGGGCAGGAGCCGGAGGCTCGGCATTTAAAGGTCACCCGGCTTTTGAAGCTGCAGCGACATTAATAGCTTGGGAAGAAAACAAGCCTGTGCAGGGCAGGAGGACAAGGCGCCTCTGTCAGGGCCCCCCCTCCCCCCGCCGGGCGCGCACACGCGTACGTACACGCTTGCACGCTCCTGCACCCACACGCAGAGCCTGAGAGCCTCTCTCTGTCTCGTGGGCCCCCACCTTCCTTCCTACCCGCCCCCCCTGTGGCGGCCTCTCGGGCTCAGAAGCCAAGATGCTCCGCAGCCTTGCCTGCGCCCTGCCCCTGTCGCGTCCGAGGGGACAGCTGGACAAGGACGCAGCTGCCCTGGGCCTGGCAGCCTCTCCATTAGCGCTGCCATTACCCGCTTGAGGTGTCCCCGGGACTTAACCATGGTTACACAAGCCTCCCAAGGGTCATGTGACCTCGTCCTGGCCCCGCTGGCTTTTGCAGCCCGGATTCCTGTTGAGGCGAAGGAAGTCTGGCCTCGGCCTCAAGCGGGAACGAAAGGGCCGGTGCGCGGGTGTGTCTTGCTTGCCGAGCGAGTCTCATCACTTGGTAGAGGCTCCGTGGGCTCCAGGGGACAAGAACACCTGGATAGATTAGTGATGTCTGCCAAGGACCCGGGCTCGGAATTGATGGCCTGTGTGCCTTGCATTTCCCACTTGGAGAATAAGTCGTTTTGAAACTTCCCGTCTTGGATTCTGAGACCCTCGGGCTGGGTGGGTTCCTCTCCTTTTGAGTCCGAGGTGGGGGTGAGACAGATTCATGGGCTCCTGGAGAGGAGCCGCTCGGTTTGCCCTTTCCCTGGCAGGGGCCGGGCCGAGCCCTGGAACTCCACCTAGTGGCCTGGCCTGGCAGTGCCACAGGCTGGGCCCCGGAGTCCCCTCTGCAGGGCGGGGTCACAGCAATTACAGATGGGTCACAAGATCTGGTCTGTCCCTTGTCCCCCGGGGATTTTCAGGGGAGGGTGCCAGGGGTGTTAAGAGACAGAGCTGCCTCGGGCAGCCCCTCCTCCTTCTAGAAGAGAAGGGCTCGGGCAGTTGGGACCCCTGGCCTCCCAGCCCCAGCTCTCTTCCTGAGGCCTCCCGTTCTGTCCGTACATTTCAGGGTTGGGTTCTCCCCGGGGGCAGTGGAATGTCAAGTCCTATCTTGGAGGGAATCGACCTCCTGTGCCCTGGAGCTGACTCTGGCTTGGAAAGGGGACCATCCTGCCATCAGCCTTGTGTGCCTTTGAAGGGAGGAGGCCCTCGGGCCAGGCCCCAGAAGGCTCACGGGACCTCAGCCTTGTCACTGACTGCCTTGGCCTCAGCTGTTTCGTCTGTGAAGTGTGATCATAGCGCCTGCCCCTATAGACACGATAGCTTTTTTTGTGAGGACTAAACGAGAACGTAGATGACAAAGGGCTTCGGAAACTAAAACATCCTCCCGCTAAGCCCCACCTTGCTGTGAGCCAGAGGAGGAGGGGAAGGGAAGACAACCCGCAGGTGATCGTGCTCCAGCCGCTTTCCTCCCCTTCTTCACCCACCTAACGCGTCTCTGTTGTCGGTGTCGGGTACTCTTCCAGGCACTTTCCTCAGGACAGTGAATAAAGCGGACACCTCGCCCCCACGGAGCTTCCAGGCGAGTGGCGGAGATGATGTGTAACCTCTGCGGTGGTCTGTTCCCCGAGGAAAACTGAAGCAGGGCAAAAGGGGACGACGTGGCAGACGGGGCGGGGGTGTGTCTCTGGTACAGTCGTGCTTGAGTAGGGGCCCGAGGGACACGGGGGGGGGCGCGTGTTGATATCTGGGTGAAGAATGGGGCAGGCAGTAGACATGGGAGCGCGTGGGGCTTGCAGGTTGATGAGCAAGGGTCCAGGATGCCCGGAGAGGGCGAGGGGTGGGGACAGAGTGAGGCTGACGGGGAGGGCAGGTGCGCAGGCAGGGCAGCGTGGGGCCCGGCGGACCACGGCAAGGCTCTCGGCTGTGTTCTGAGGACCGGAGGAGCCATTGCGGGTTGGGAGGGGGGTGGAGCCGAGGGAGGCCATGCCCGCCACGGTGCCCGGTCTGCAGGAAGGCAGTGGGGGACACAGAGGCAGGCAGGGACGGTAGCCTCAGAGGTGGTGGGGCGCGGCCAGGTGCTGGCACGGTTTTGAAGCGAGGGAAGATTGGATTTGCTGCGCCTGGGCGTGGGGTGTAAGAATTCCGGCACTCGAGGAGCCTCTCAAGCTTTTGGCCTGAGCCGTGTGGAGTTGGCGTTCGCAGAGACAGGGAAGGCGGGGGGAGCAGGCTGGGCTTGGAAGGAATCCGGGAGTCGAACTCAGACGACCCATTATGTCAGATCTGCTGCTGGATCACATCCAAGTGAAGGTGGCAGGTCAGAGGCGCAAGTGTAGAGGTGAAGGCCATGTTCCCTGGAGGCCTCAGGGCAAGAGAAGGCTGGGAGCCCGTATTCAGCATGTAGATGGTACGTTTAAGGTCACGGGACTGGATAAGATTGTTCGGGCTGCAAATGCAGCCAAGGCAAAGGGCCACAACCTGTGCCTGAGGCCACACCAGCCTGTCTCCTTGGGTGCTTACTGGCCCCAGGCACCCGGGGAAGTTCCATCAGAGCACCCCTTCCAGGGTGTATTCTATCAGTTTTTACGAAAGAGGGAGCAGAGGTTCAGAGGAGTGAAATGATTTCTCCAAGTCACGTAGCCTTGCTAGGCCCAGTCAGCAGCGTGGAAACCGGGCCCCTGGCTCTGGGGCCCTCACGTCTCCCCAGTGGACCCGACTTGGTCCTGCGGGACACTGGCTGGGACGACCTCGGGCAAGGTCAGGAGACGAGCACGCGGGCAGCCTGCCTACCTCACTGGGCCAGGCCAGGAGTGACTCAGGCCTTGGCTGCCTCCTCCCGCTTGGATTGAGGACTGGCAGGCTGCGGTCCCCCTCCCCCCAGTCCCAGATGCCTTTGTCGGGGAGCCGAAGGCCTGGCTCCCTGGGACCTGGGGGAGGACAGGTGTGGGAGTTCTGCTTCCCAGTCCCCAGGTCACTCATAGCCCAGGGTTCAGGAGAGCCTCGGAGTTGGCCTCCAAGACCAAGACCTCCAACAGGCTCAACGGGTTTCGTTCACTTCCCTTTTCAGATGTGGGTCAGGGGTTATCTCTCTCTGAACCCAACAGCTGGGGTTCAGAGAGGTGGAGCGGTTTCCCCAAGGTCACAGAGCCAGCCCTGGGGCCAAGCCAAGAGACACTCTTTCCTCTCCCCTCCCCCAGTGCTGTCTAGGTCACATTTCCTCTGCTGGAATGTCAGCCAGGCCGGGCCCAGTCTCCTGAGCCTGGGCCACACACGGCTGCACTTCTGAGCCGCCTTGGCTCCTAGCCGGTCCAGCCTGACTTGGCATTTTTGACTCTCTATATACTGGCTGTGTGACTTCATGCAAGTTACCTGACTTCTCTGAACTGGTTTCCACAGCTATGAAATGGAGACAAGAGTGTCTATCTCTGGAGTTGTAATGAAGATTAGATGTCGGGGTGCCCAGCACGGGTTCGTAAACCTACGTTACATTGCCTGCCTTAATTCTTTCCGGGGGGTGTGTGTGTGTGTTTTAAAGTTTACTTATTTTGAGAGAGAATGAGGGAGAGAGAGAGCAAGTTGGGGAGGGGCAGAGAGACAGAGAGAGAGAGAGAGAGAGAGAGAGAGAGAGAATCCTAACAAGAATCCTAACAGGCTCCATGCCATCAGCACAGAGCCCAGTGCAGGGCTCAATTCCTCGTTGACGATCATTCCGGGAGCCCAGATAGAGTGGGACACTCAAACGACTGAGTCACCCAGGAGCCCCCTTTCATGTGTTTGAAACTGCTTCTCATTTGAGCTGTGCTCATTGCAAAAGGCAGCCTGGCCTGGATGACACTGATCCCTAGGACTGTCCTTCTCCCTGCGCCCAGGGGTGCTAGCCCAGCTCAGCCCTGGCCTCATGCTCTGTGCTTGAGCTTAGCAAGGGCTGGTCCTCTCAGAAGGGGGAAGGAAATGCACGGCCCCACCTGGTGCTGATTACAGGCAACTTGGTTTTGGGATCTGTGCATTCTGGCAGGGTCCTGTGGAAATGGTGTTTCTGAACGACGACTCCTGTTCCCTCACACTTCCCAGTAGCGTTTCTGAGCCACTTTCTCCTCACAGAATGACCTTGGATGGAAGAGTCTAGGCTTTGCCACCGCCGGCCGTACGTGGGCAATTCCGACAAGTCTTGGGCGTCAGTCTCTTCATCTGAAACGTGCTGTGGGCTGTGGGGCTGTCCCAGAGTTGCCAGCCATTAACATGTTGGGGGCACACACAGAAAATGCTGTTTTTCCAGGCTTTTCCCCTGGGGTAAATGGAAGAGGAGGCTGCCTGACCTGTGGTGTCTCCAGCTGCCCAGGCCTCCCCTGGGGCTTCGAGGATCAGCACTCCTTCTAAGGGCTGAAGGACCCCCCCCCCCTTTCATTTTCCACATGCCTCTCAGGATGTAGATCTTTCCAGTAGGTTAGAATCTGAGCGTGGTGGCCCTGGGGAACAATATGCCCTAAGGGGAAAGAGGGAATCCATGGTCGTGCTGGATCTTCTGACCCCAGGGTGAGTGACAGCCCATGTCCTGCACTTTCCATGCTCCTCTGCTCTTGTCTTTCTTTCTTTTTTCTTTTTCAAGTTTTTAAAAAAAATTTTTATTTTTGAGAGAGAGAGAGACAGAGTGGGAGTGGGGCTGAGAGAGAGAAGGAGACACAGAATCCGAAGCAGGCTCCAGACTCTGAGCTGTCAGCACAGAGCCCAATGCAGGGCTTGAACTCACAGACCACGAGATCATGTCCTGAGCTAAGTCAGACGCTTAACTGACTGAGCCACCCAGGTGCCCCAAGCTCTTGTCTTTCTTATACCATCAACTGTTTGACTGTTGGGAACTGGGCAAGGGGGACCATCATGTTGATTTGCTCACACGAACGTTTCAATGTCAGCTGTTATGATTCTGATCCCAAGTCCTAGAAAAGGGAAAACAGGTTTGCACTTGTTTCATCAAACTTAGGAAACAGTCTTTGATGGAATGGTCCCTTGATATGAAGTTGCCAATATGCATGAGAAAGTCGGCATTTGATGTTTTTAGATATTCAACTCTCAGATGACTGCACTAACAAAACGGTGACCCTCGCAGTGACTTACGCGCTTGGTTGTCCGTGGACAGAACAGGTTTCTGTCGCAGATATAGTGGCACTCTCCACAAACTGGAGGCCGTGGTAGTGGGATCAAGTTGGGGTCCTGACGTGAGACGCACAGACTGGGTGGGCTGGAGACCGGGGGACAAGATGGGGCCTGTACAGACCCCTCCCGCCTCAGGGCCTCAGGGCTCCTCCAGAGTAGGAGTAGCGATTGAAACCAGCAGCCACAGTCCTGGGTTCAAAGCCTAACTCCTCCACTTCCCCAGCATCCTCAGTTTTCCTAGCTGGGAAATGGGGATACTACTAGCGCCTGCCTCACACTAGTGTCCTGACTCAGCCCACCCGGGACCCATGGCGCCTGGCCCAGAGTAAGCCCTGGCTAACTGGTAGCAATCCTGTGCCCATACAGAACTGTGTCTGTTTAATTACTGCAGCTGGAGAGAAAGCACAAAGCAGTGGGTCTCCCGCGGCCGAGGCGGGGGTACCCCCATCCCCTTGGCATTCAGCCCCTGACTCAGCCTTCCTCTGTTTCAGGTGGGAGTGTCGGTGGAGCCGGCCCCAGGATGCCCCGGGGGTGTGGATGACCTGCTGCCCAGGCCCGGATGCCGCCGCCCCGCGAGGGCCGCTCCCGGAGGGCCGCAGGTGGCCCCGCGCCCTAGCCTCCTGACCCGGGACCCCGCGCGCCCCGCTCCCTCCCGGCCGCCCAGGGGAGCGGGAGCCACGCGAGGGAGCCTCCGGAGCCCGCCGAGAGCGCGGCCACGGCACAGGGACCCGGGGGCAGGGGCTCGGCGCTGGCCGCAAACATTTTCCCCCAGCGGCTCGGCAAGATGACCAGCCTGTTCCGCCGGAGCAGCGGCGGCGGCGGCGGCGGCGGCGGCGGGGGCGGCTCCGCAGGGGCGCGCGGGGCCGGGGCCGCCGCGCCCGCCTCTCAGGAGCTCAACAACAGCCGGCCCGCCCGCCAGGTGCGCCGCCTCGAGTTCAACCAGGCCATGGACGACTTCAAGACCATGTTCCCCAACATGGATTACGACATCATCGAGTGCGTGCTGCGCGCCAACAGCGGCGCCGTGGACGCCACCATCGACCAGCTGCTGCAGATGAACCTGGAGGGCGGTGGTGGCAGCGTCTGCGAGGACAGCTCCGACTCGGAGGACAGCATTCCCCCGGAGGTAGGGGCGCGGCCCGGATCATTCACGCGGAGCTCCAGCGCTGTTTGAACCCCACAGAGGACTTGGGTTGTTTCCCCTGAGTTCCAACTGGCGAGTTGCCGGTTTCTCCTAGGAACACCATACCCAAGGCAGTCAGTGGTCCTTTTATGGGCAGAAATCATGCAGTCATTCAACAAACATTGATCCCTACTCAGGGGTCATCAGAATCGAGGAGCTTGTTAAAAATGCAGACACTCGGGCCCTATCCCAACATACTGAAACCAATTCCAGGCTGGGGCCCTGTAGCCTGTATTTTTCTAGAAAGGCTCCCTTTGCACCTCTGGGTGTCCACGTTGGCCAAGTCAGCAGAGGTTCTGCTAGCGCAGAGCTCACAGGAGTCAGGCAATGACAGCCTCCTGCGGTAGGTGCTCTCGTGGGAGAAAGGGAAGGAGAAAGTTCCAGGATGGCTTCCCTGAGAAGGGAGGGCTAAGCCGAGGCCCAAGGAAAGAGTATGGAGCGAGGGAAAAGGTGTGCAGGCAGAGGGAACCACTCGTGCAAAGGTTCAGAGGTGAAACAGAGCATGAGTCACTAGGGAGCTGGCTGGGGGACCTTCTGTCAGGACCCTGGGATGAGCGGACACCAGCAGCGTGAGGAGGCCCGGTGGTTGAGAGCGAGCAGGGCCACATCCTTAGAGCACAGGGAGCCGTGGAAAAGGAGGGACCTCAGACTTCCTAGTTCAGTTCTTCTGGCCAAAGCATGAGGGAGGCGGGGGCAAGCAGTGCCCTTTCCTCCTTGCTCAGGGAGGCCGCTGGGGGAGTAGCCCCCCCCCCCCACTGCATCAAGGCCCACCCGACCCCACCCAAGAATCCAGTAAGCATTTGGCCGCTCCTCAGCCTCCGCAGGGCCCGACGTGCTGGGGAAGGGGCGCACGGAGTCCTTCTGTGATAGGGTCACCGCCAGCAGGGACACGCGCCCACGGGCAAGACTGAGCAGGTGGGATTGAACTCTGCTCCTCATGGAGTCCCAGCCCGTGCCAGGCACCGTTTATGTTTAGATGTATCTAAACTGCATGTTTAGATGTATCGGTCCTTCTAGCCCTCACACGCCTTGTGAGGTGCATTATTATCACCGTCATTCACAGAGAAAACCTAGACCCAGACGTGGCCTCAGGTTCGATCTCAGCACAGCCCTGCCGCATCCAATCTCCCGCCGAGTACTCCTGCAAGGAGGCCCCCTCCCCACCCCACCCTGCCTCCCTTAGTGGGTGCTGCCTGGGATTTCCCTCTCCCGGTGGGGGACTGACTGTGGCCGACGGCATCTGCCTTGCCCTGTATCACCCGCAGCACCCAGCACCGTCCTGGCACATAGCAGGGCCCCAGGGAACGTTTGCTGCTGTCTTTGCACAGCGTTCTTTAGTCTTTTTCCTGGGGAGACCACTCCTTTGACCTGCCTGGATTAGCCAGCGGAAGGAGTCTTAGAAAACCCAGGTCGTCTTTGTGGAAAGGAGGGGGGGAGGGTATGTGTGAGCGTGTGTGCATGTGTGTATGCGTGTGCGTGCATGTTTGCAAATACATCCTTTAAGCGTGAGCCAGAAGGAAAGTATTCTGCTACCCTGACCCCTTCCACAGTCTCATTTATCCCACAGTCTGGCAGGTGGGGGAGAGTAATCTTTCCTCCTGTGTGCAGGGTGCCCACCGGCCCGTGACCCTCCACGGGGCTCCACCGTCCCCTAGTTAGGCCTGCTCTGTGCGTGCTGCTGTTTTTCCAAGAGCCTTCTCAGCACCCCGCCTTGGCCGCGTCTCCAAACCCCCACCTTTGGAGCTCTGCGTGGCCCATCGGCGGGCAGTTCCTGAGCCAGCGGAAAGTGTTTCAGAAAATTTATGAGCAGCAGCTGGAATGACAATAACGGCTGACTGGAAAAAGCCCCCTCGCTGGGGGCTGATGGATGGGGGGCTGCCGAGGGGTATCCTTGCCACTGAGAAATATCTCCTGTCAGATAAATGGCCCAGACCCTGGCCCCCAGAGCACCTGGCAGGCATCCATCACCCACACCGAGTTAAGCCAAGAGGCCACAGAGCCGAAAACTTCAGCACCTTTAGAGCCAGAAGAACAACCTCTTTGTGGCTGGTGGGGTTGCAGGGAGAGAGGCAGAGGGAGGCCAGAAACACGGCTGGGGTTACTCTCCCTGGAGACTTGGGCTCGGCCTTTCTGGAGCGTGCCTGGCCCGCTGCCCGCCTCCTTGGCGTTTCCTCACTCTGCTCCAGGAGCCTCTGATGCACGTCTGGTTCTGGCAGCCCCAGGAGGCTGTGCGGAGGCACAGGAGCGGCTGCCGGGGGAGGGCGGCTCCTGGTGCAACCCCGAGGCCCTAGCTCCCGGAGTCTGGAGGCGGGCCGCTGCAGGCCACAGTCTAGGAAACCCTGAGCAGCTTCCTTCCTTCTGGGAACAGTTCCTTCTCACTCTCCCTTCCTCCCCCATCTCCTTCATGCCAGCCTCAGTGGGGCCGGCCGGCCACTGAGGGAGAAGCCGGCCTCCTGACCTGGGTCTGGAACCCCAGCCCGCAGAGCAGTGGGGTCTGAAGACCAGAGGGCGCAGGTTGGGGGTCAGAAGCCACCCATTCTCGGGGTGCGCTCGGTAGTTGCTGAGCCACTGTCCTGTGCCAGGCACCAGGGGCTCCCCAGTGAACTGGACCGGGGCCTGCTGCATTCTCTCTCTCTCTGTCTCTCTTTTTTGCTTCTTGTGGAAATGTGGGGTAAGCAGAGCAGTGGCCCGCAAAGCAGCCACATTCTTCTTTTTCTGCAAAAGCATCTGTTTAAATACTTTCCGCCTCAAAGGAAAGAACATTAGTGCATTCCAGGGCGGGAGGAGGCCTCTTTGGGTCGGGGCGGCTGTGCATGCGTGAAGTGTGGCAGTGTGTGTGTGAGTGCGGATGCACTCATGTGTGTGCTCACCCACCTGCCAGGGTGTCCCTGTGAGACCCCGGGTGCCTGGGCGTGGATGGGCTCAGGGCAGAGAGGTGCCAGTGCAGCCTGCCCCACCCAGGCTTGCAGAAGCAGCCTGGTGTGACTTCTGCAAACACATTCGGAGTTCAAGGCCCTGGGGCCTCAGGCCCATGGATACCTCTGAGCCGTTCCCATGTTCTTCGGTCCTGGAGGAGATGGGAACAGAAGTGGGGAGCAGAGGTGTAGGTCAGCTGGGGTTTGTTTGACCTTGGGGTCTCCTGGTTGCCGGTCGCCTCGTGCCCCAGACTCCCTGTGGATCTCTGGGGAAGGATCCAGGCCAGTCCACGGAGCAGGGGCTCTGGGTTTTGCTCAGCCCTTGGCTTCTCCCTGCCCACTTTCTGGCTTCTGGATGAAGAGAGGAGTCCAGGAGGGAGAGGCCACCGTCCACCCTGAGAATCCAACCAGGGTGTGCTATGCCGGCGCTGTTTCTGAAAGACAGATCTTTGCTGTGGAGACTGCGTCCAAGCTGAAAACTCAGTTCTAAAAATAGCGTACGGCTTTGTCATGTCACTGAGCCTGGGTCTCAATTTCCTTATCTGTAAAATGGGAGTAATGATCTTTATCCTACCTCACTAAGTTGTTTGAGGTTACGGTGAGCTAATTGAGGTGGAGGTACTTTGAGAGAGAGCATGAATGCCGTTCAAGTTATTTATCAGAAGTAACACATGTAGCGAAGGGCACAGGAACCATAGGTGTGTGGCTCAATGCAGTTTCCCTAGCACCCGGGTCAAGAAACATCAACGGAGCCTGGAATCCCCCTTGGGTCCCTTCACAGCCTTCTGCACCCCCCACAGAGGTCATAATGCTCTGACTTCTTTCATTGTGATTTGTTTTGCCTGTTTTTAAACCTTACTTGAATGGGTAATGCTGCCCTGAACATTCTTTCGGGGACGTGTGCTTTCATGCCCATTGAGTATGCCGGAAGTGTAGGGTCAGAGGCAGCTATGCGTTCAGCTTTGCACCAGAGCAAACAGGTTAGCAGAGTGGTGGCCGTATCCATTCCCCACCCCCTCGCCCCCCACCCCCAGCCACACAGCGAGCCCTTACTATGCGTCCTTGCCTGCGCTTGTGATTTTGTCTGGATGGTATTTAAATTCAGGGAAGGATTGTTAACATTTATTTTATTGTGTCTGATACAGATCTTGGAGAGGACTTTGGAACCCGATAGCTCTGATGAAGAGCCCCCGCCGGTCTACTCCCCGCCGGCCTACCACATGCACATGTTTGACAGGCCTTACCCGCTGGCTCCTCCCACCCCACCTCCCCGGTGAGAATCTGTCTCCTTCCAGAGTGCAGGGCAGGGGGGCTAGGGATCAGGGGGTGGGCTTGATTCACAAACACAGCGGGAAACTTGGCTGGACCCCTCAGGATATTATTCCACCAAGAACAGCCTCCTACTGCAGCAAGAGACATTTAAGCTAGGTACCAAGGCGAACTTTCACGCCCGAAGGATTGAAAGGGCAGGTAGTCACTAGATTCCGACTCTGGGTGAGGTGCTGTGCAGAACGTGATTGGGACACAGAGGTAAAGAAGGCTCAGCCCTGCTTTCTGGGATCTTACATCAAGGCCGATACAAGTGGGAGGAACAAACACAGGGAACATGTACTGACGCTTCCCCTCCTGAGCCGTTGGCAAACGTTACGAATTGATCACTGTGCTCTTTCCTGCTCAGTTGAGGCCGAACTTCAGAATCCTCTTCAACACAGCACTCCCAGAGTCCTCAGTGATCGACGGAATGGAGATCTATTCCAGATCTATTATCTATCCCTGGACTAGGTGTGCTGTGGGTGATTTTCAGCCAATGGGAGCGAGTTCTGTCTTTTTCTGGGATAGTTTGATCACTGGAGGCCAAGGAGTAGACTACTGGGTCCTTGGAGACTTCTGACAGGTGAGGGACTCGAATTTGGAGGTTGAGCAGGATGCTGGCTGCCGGCGGGGTCCCACGGTCTCTCAGGTGCTTGTTTTTCTGTGCTTCGTGTCCGTAGCGGGGCTGCTGGATGGAGCCCAGTTGCCTCTTTGTCCCAGAGCTGCGTTTCCTTAGAATGGCTCAGGGCTGGGGTGGTGAGGCGCGGAGGCGCATGATGGGCCAGGGGACTTCTCCAGCGGATCTTTCCTTCCGGAGATCTCGGGAGCCTCAGAAGGCAGGAGCAAACTCTGTTATACCTGTGTGGAGAGTAACAGCAGCTACCATTTCGTAAGTGCTGGAAACCCATGAGGCTTTGCACGTAACTGCTCAGGAGGCAGCCACTGTTACCTCATTTTACAGATGAGGAAACTAAGAGAGGTTTCGTCACTTGCTCAAGACTATAGAGCTGAGCTTTGAACCCAGGCCGTTCTGATTCCAAAACCAATGCCCTAGCTGCTGTGTGCCTCCCTTACTGAGAAAATTCTCTGCAGTTGCAGCTCAGGGGCGCTGATGGAGGCCTAGAAGGTTATAGGACGGAGGGGACAATGTTGTGAGTCAGGGACGGGAGCAGAGCGGGGGTCCTTCCTTTATTGCAGGGGGGACCAGGAGGCTGCAATGTGGGGGGTGGGGGAAGAGGCAGGGAGTAAGTGGGTTGGTCTGGGTGAGGCCTTGGCAGGACGGGCAGCCTGTCATCGGTCATGGAGCCAGGGTTAAATAGTTTTCCTTTGACTCTTTTTTTTTTTTTTTTTTTAAATATTCCAGTATGCTTTTGCAAACCGTTCCGTTTCTGTCAGGCAAAGTGTTTCTGCCTGTTTTTCACAAGCAAACACTGAGGCCAAAAGAATCCCAGCGTGAACCCAGGGACACCCCGGCGCGTCCTTCCTCCCCTCCCTTGGCTGGTGTTCAGCTGCTGTGGGTGCAGCAGGGCCGCGGGCAGGGGCGGTGCAGCTCGGTGACGGTGACGGGAGCCGCTGGTGAGGGCAGGACGACCTCAGCACTAGACCAGGGCTCCGGAGGCCTGAGATTCAGGGTCCTGACCTGGAAACGAAGGCTTCGCTGGGCCTGGGGAGGATACAGGGGCGAGAGCTTGAGTTGTGGAGTCTGGAGAAAGGAAAGTGCTCTCCCACCCTCCGTCTTTCAGCTGCCCAACTTCTGATACTTTAGGTGCTTCTGCTGTGCGGGCTTTGGCTCACTGCTTAACCTCTCTGAGCTTCGCTCCCCTCACATGTGAAGTGGGACTGCTGACCCCGGCCTGGGCACTGCTGTGAGGACTGAACGAGATAATGAGCGTGAGCACTTAGCACAGTCCCAGGCGTGGTCAGACCTACTGTCTGTGGTTTCCTGCTCCTTGCTGTCCCGGGCCGTGCGGCTGGCCTCTGAGCCCTAACGTGGAATACTGAGACCACTGCTGAGGCTTCTCTCAGCGGCCGGTGTTCCGAGGAAGCAGGGCCAGGCTCTGAGCGTGCGCCCCTTTGGCACAGGATGGCCCAGATCCACCCCTAGGCCATCTCCGGGCCTAGAACATTCATTTCCAGCATTTATTAAGTCACCTGCCGCATGCTGGTGCTGACCCATGTGTGAAGTGCTGAGATGAATATGGCACTGCTTTGACCCCCAGGGAGATCAGAGCCTGGGGGAGGTACAGAGCTGGGGGCAAGAAAATCTGCCTAGAGGAACTCATGTCTGAGCTGCGTCCTGGTGAGGCAGAGGACAAGAGGGCATTTTAGGCAACGGAAGCAGCATGTGCAAAGGCCAGGAGGCAGGAAAGGGGGAACCATCCAGGAGCTTCAGGAGTCTGGGGAACTCCAGGAAATGTGGAATGGGCCTCGAAAGCTGGAGATCATGGCGGGCGGGGGCTGGGGGTCCTCTGAGGAGCTTTGGCCTTATCCAGCAGCCAGCAGATTTAAGCTGGAGAGTGACAGGATCAGGTTAGTGGTTTAGAATCTCCCTCTGGCTATGGGACGGGGGTGGGAAGAAGAATAGCAGGAGGACCCTGAGGGACTGCACATGGTGGGGTGGGGGGTGGGGGGGCGGGAGAGGAGCTTGCCCAGCTGAGACACAGGCAGGGCGATCCCAGGGCTAAGTGGCTGGAAAGTCAGGACCCCTGAGCCCAGATTTTGTCTGCACGATCTGTGTGTCCCTGGACAGGGCCTGACTCCATCAGGGCCTCAGTGTCCGGTCTTTACCAAAATTCCTGCCTGGAAGGTTTATGTCTGAAATCTTCCTGGAGTCTGATGTCCCATGGGAAAATCTGCGGGTCTGATGGGTGTGAAGCTTGAGTTTTGGGGGCCAGGGGCCAGGAGAGCCTCCCAAGCCATCTCTCCCCTTCCCCTCCCCCAGCTTGCCCTTCCCTCTATCTCCGGGATGAAAGAGGTCTCTCAAACACAAGGCACCCCTCCACACAGGCCACCTGCTGTTTTTCCATTGAAATTACAGCCTTGGAAGTTTTTTATTTGCCTCTCAGCTCATTTCTGACATTCCTTTCCAACCACAATGGAGTTGCCTGGGCCGCCAGGGCTCAGGGCCCCCCTGGCTCTCGCAGCTGCGGCTGACCTCATCTCTGCCGGTGCCAGGGCAAGGGCCCGGGAGGGACTGGGCATCTCCTTCCTCGGGACCACGGGCCCAGCCGCCCGGGAAACAGGGCTGAGGAGGGGGGCCTCCCGCTCTGTCCCCCCTCCCCTCTTGGGCTCAGTAACTAATGGCCAGAGGGGGCCCAATGCAATTCTGGGACTCTCCTTCTGCCCTTGCCTGGGTGGCTCTGGGTGTGGTTGAGTTGGCGAGGTGGGTACCTGTGTCCTAGGCGAAGATGCCAGGGAGGAATTCTCTGTGCTGGGGCCAACCCCAGGTGGTCTGCGAGACCCTAAGAGACGGGCATCCTCTCCCCTGCCTCGGGCCCTTGGGAGAAATGAAGCCTTCAACAGTGACAGGAGGCAGAGCCAGGTGGAGAGAGATCTGCCGGGGACTCAGAGTGCTGGGTCTTCTGGAGCATTCCATCACCTGTACAGCGAGAGGGTGGACAGCGTGCGGGTTTCCTTGGCTCCCACTGCGCACTTAGCAGCTTGTTATCCCGTCTGCTGCCGCCCCCGCCCCCCCCCTCGTCCTGCCAGGCCACCCGCCCAAAATAGAAGAGGAAAGGAAGTTGTTTCCACAGTCAGCGGCAGCCCAGCCCGGAAAAGCTCCCCTCGAGTGAGGGGGCGGGCGGGATTCCTGGAGCTGGAGGCGAATCAAAGCCAGGCGAGAGCTGCCGGCCGCCGCCCCCGGCCCGCTGCCTTCTGTGTGTGTCATTTCCCTGAGTCAGCAGAACACGTGTCCTGCGGTCGCCACGCTGCAGGCTGCCGAGGAGCCGTGGGGAGCCCCTGGCCCGGCCCCAGGCTGCCCTTAGGCCCCGGACTGCAGGCAGCGGGCAGGAGGCTGGGGTCGGGGAGGGCTGTGGCCCCCATTCTCTTCCCACACTCGCCCTCCTGCACACCCTTGGCCTCTGCCCTGACCCTCGGACCTCCTGCCAGGCACCTTGCGTAGGAGGCGTGACTCCCGAGCCCCCCTGGGAACAAGAAACTCTCCATTCCCACCTTCAATGTGACTTTTCAGAACACTGTTGAAGACCAAGCCCTCGTGAGGGGCTCCTGCATGCTGGGCGGGGAGGTGGTATTTCCCTGAGGAATTCCCCTCCCCAGAGGGGCCAGGGGCTTGCCCAGGACCATCCTGCTGGCCATGACTGAGCCAGAACCGGAGCCTGGACCTGTTCTGCTCTGTAGGGACCCTGCTGTCCCCGTGTCCCCCCTGCCCCCTGGCAAACCAACGTTCGGGCAGGCCGGGCTTGGTGGCAGAGGTGTTTGGTCACTGGGAGCCCACCTGTTCTCAGCAGCCACCAGCTGGCACTGCACTAGGTGCTAGGGACATGCCCGCTGTCTGTAGAGGGCATTCATAAACATCTACCTGTAAATCCATGACACCCAACTTGAGCACCATGAACAGAGGCCCCTAGGCCTAGAGACCTTGAGGGTACAGGGTGGCTGGAAAGCAGTGACTGTCTGGAGCACAGGGAACCTGGGCCCCGGGGCCATTAACTGATTGACTGAGGTTAGCAGATGCCTGATTGGGAAGATGCGATGGGGTGCTCGGCCTTTGTCCTGGAGGCTGTGGAGGCCTTGGGAGACTTCAGAGCAGAAATGCCATTCTAAGCAGGATCCCGGTGTGATGGGCCGGGACACCTGTGTTTGGGCCTGACTGTCCCCCCCCCAACCCACGTCCCCCATTGTTCCCTCTCACCCTCCAGCATCGATGTGCTGGGCTCCGGACCCGCTTCGAGCCAGAGGCGCTATCGTAACTGGAACCCGCCACTGCTGGGCAACCTCCCTGACGACTTTCTCCGCATCCTGCCCCAGCAGCTGGACAGCTTACAGGTACCGGGGGAGGCCCCCAGCTGCCCCGGCAGCACCTCCGCTTGCCGCGGTTGGTGCCAGCCCGTTTCACTTCCTGATGTGTAAGCCTGGGCTCAGCTATTTCTGTTGCCCTGGGTTCGCAAGGAAAGAATGCTGAACCCAAAGCCTCATTTCCTGTCTGGGCCTGGAGGTTTCCTGTTCCGCCCTGGAGAGGTGACAGCCCTGAGGAGTCTGCAGCTCCGGCCATCAGCTCAGGCTGGAGGGAGGTGGGCCTGGGGGCGGCCGGCAGCAGAGGGGCAGAGCACCTTCCCTCCCACCCACGGGAAAGGGCCGCTTCTGCCTGACAGAGGCACGACCCCAGGGGCCCTTGCAGAAGGGGCCTCCCCCTGGGCCAGGCAGGACAGGGAGAGTGTGAGTGTGGGAATCCATGTGGAGCTAACCAAGCTACGGAGCAACTCGCAGCTCCCTTTCCAGGATGCTTGGGCTATAGATGAGGGATGGGCGCCCAAGGGGGAGAACAATAGATTTTAAGACCTAGCCATTTCCCCCCAAGAGGCCTCTGGCCTGCGAAGTTGGAGGTGGGCTGACCCCCAGAGCCCAGTAGCAGCTCTAGCCCCAGGGTGTGGCCGGAGGCTCCTGGGCAAGGACACGTGTGCACCCAGATGCGCGTGGCTGTCCGTGCGGCACGTGCCCTTGTGAGCATCCTCTCGGTGTGCTTGCTCCCCTTGTCAGGGTAACGCCGGGGCCTCCAAGCCCACGAGCGGGGACAGAGGCCCACCCCCCGCGGCCGAGCCCGGGGCCCGGGACCAGGAGAACCGCTGGAAGCAGTACCTGGAGGACGAGAGGATCGCGCTCTTCCTGCAGAACGAGGAGTTCATGAAGGAGCTGCAGCGCAACAGGGACTTCCTGCTGGCCCTGGAGAGAGGTGCCGCCCCCGTGGCAGGGGCTGGGGTTGGCGTTAGCCCGGGGGCTCAGAGGAGGGACTGAGCTCGGGCCCAGGCGGCCTGTGTCCTGTTGCTACATGCCCCCCACCAAGTGAGCCTGGGAGAGCCCCGGGAGTCTGCCAAGAGGGACGCAGGCCAGCAGCCAACTCTTGTCCCGGGGACTCACAGGAAGAGGGGTGTGCCTTCTTAGGCCCTCTCTTTGCCCCTGCGCATCTCTTGTGTGCCAGGCGCTGGCCGTGGCCTAGAGCTGGGTCCACAGGGGCCTCCCTGAGCATAGGACGTCAGGGCAGGGGGCTCTCAAATGTTTCTGCAGTTTGGGTTACCTCTGGCCGGGGGCTCCACTCCCCAGTTGTGGCTGCCTTTCCCCTTCAGCGTGGGAGCATTTGTGGTGGGGTGCAGTGAGAGGCCTGTGAAGGTGTGTGTGTGTGTGTGTGTATGTGTGTGTGTGAGACTGACAGTGTGTGGTTGAGGAGGAGTAAGGTGTGCAGAGACAAGGTTGTTTTATTTAATTTCACTTTATTTTTTTTAAGTTTATTTTCAGAGAAAGAGAGAGAGAACAAGTAGGGGAGGGGCAGAGAGAGAGGGAGACACAGAATCCCAAACAGGCTCTGCGCTGTCAGTGTAGAGCCCGATGCGGGACTCTATCGCATGAACTGCGAGATCATGACCTGAGCTGAAATCAAGAGTTGCTTAGCCCGCTGAGCCACCCCGGTGCCCCAGGGCCTTTCCTTTTATGAAGGGTTAGACTATACGATCTCTCAGCGTCCTTCTGATTTTGACATTCTGACATTCCAAGTGCTGGTCGGGGCGTAGTTTCTATGGTTCAGCTGGCTCTGTGAGAGCCGGTGGATGTGTGTGTGCACACATTATGTGTGTGTCATGTGAGATCTCGGGGCTTAGCCTCCGACAACCTCCTGCGTCTCAGCCCAGGGTGCCCCTGGGAGAGAGCTAACTGTCCTGACAGGAATGTGGTCCTTTTCCAGATCGTTTGAAATACGAGTCCCAGAAATCCAAATCCAGCGGCAGCAACAGCAACAGTGTGGCTGTGGGAAATGACTTTGGCTTTCCCTCTCCTGCCCCAGGTAACCTTGGCCTCCTAGGAGAAAGGCCGGAGGGCACAGAGGCTCACACCCCAGCTGTGTTTTTGCATGTTTGGAGTTTGGAGGTGGGATGAAGAAAGAGGCTGGCAGGGAGGGTTCTGACCCCACCACCACACTGTGAGGTCAGAGCCACTCAGCACACCTGGATTCTTACCAATCCAGTGGCCGCTGGGCCCCCCTGGGATTGGCTAACAGGCTGGGTGAAGTCCTCAGAAGGTGTCTGGAGCATGGGCAGGAAGGGGACATACCACACCACAAATGTCCCATGGTGGATGGGTTCAGGAAGGACTCAGAGACTTCCAAGGCTTGATCTCTGCCCTTGGGAATGTAGGAGAAACATCCAAACAGTGCATAGAACCAAGCAGCAAAGCTGAGGACACACTCACTGATGTAGCAAACGCTCATGGTGAGAAGAGCAGGGAAGGGTTCATTCATTCAGTCGCTGGGGAAATACCGTCGAGGCCAGGCCCCGCCCTAGCGTTGGAAGAAGAGAACTTTGAGGTTCATATACAAGACAGTGAGAAGCAAGAACAGTCTTAAAAGAGGGGCAGCCCCTCCCCCGCCCCGCAGGAGCCCCAACCCGCTGGAGGGGGGCCAGCAGGGACAGCAGGCTGTTGGGATGCACGAATAAGCATTGGGCTAGAGCCGGGAACATGGGAACAGAGAGGTCTAGAGGGTCTGGATCCCCTACTTGATATCTGGCCCTGCCTGTGTGTCCCTGTGTGTGTATTGTGGTCCCTAGCCAGTCAGCTCCTCCTTGTGTACGGAGGCTGCCCACCGCAAGAAGGAAGAGGCAGCGGTGGCTTTTGCCGGAAGCACACCTTACGTGACGCGGTGGAGTGGGGTGGCGGGGCGGAGGACCGGGAGCGCAGCTGATCCCAGTTCAGAGAGAAAATCCTGTGGAACTGATTCATAAGCAGCAGGCTTGGGGCTTAGGCCCCACCAGATGTGCTTCTGGGAGTTTTAACGACAGTCTCTTGTCCTTGATCCTGAATTAACTGGACGTACCAGGGCTGCTGAGACGGATCCTAATGACTCACAGGGGACTTAGCAGGCAAGGTGACTCGGGATTAGCCGAGTTGCAGGGTGGAGAGCAGGGCCTTTAGAAGGGCAGCGAGAGCCTAAGTGAGTGCTAAGTGATCCGGGAGACTCTAGGTGGCCGACTGGGTTTTGACTTTGGAACTAGCCCTCTTCTCATTCCTACTCATTGTCTAAGGAGTCTGGAGGGAGTTAGTGGAGGGGCTGACCCAGGCAGGAAGGAGAAGGGAATTGGCACAGACAAATGCCTGCTCTGTGTCCACATCTCCCCTCCATTCCCTTATCAACTCTCACTGGGTCAGGCTGCAGGTCAGTGTGCTGGTGAGTGCCTAACAGCCAGATCAGGGGCAAGAGCAGCCCCAGTGCTTAGCATCTGGTGCCTTGCACGATGGAAACACTCCCATCAAGCTGGTTTCAAGCTACCGGCATGACTTTGCAGACGCGGAGCTGGTCAGAGAAGCACATGGTTGGGAGCGAGTGTGAGCTGCTCACGCAGCAGGCCATACCCCAGCAAGCGGGGCTCGGCAGAGAGAGAAGTACTCCTCCAGTCCTTGGTGCCCTCCTGTCTTTTTATTTATGTTTATTTTTTAGAGAGAGAGAGACAGAGACAGAACATGGACAAGGGAGGGGCAGAGAGAGAAGGAGACACAGAATACGAAGCAGGCTCTGAGCTGTCAGCACAGAGCCCGACATGGGGCTTGAACTTAGGAACCGTGAAATCATGACCTGAGCCAAGGTCGGATGCTTAATCTACCGAGATACCCAGGACACCGCTAGTGTCCTTTCTTAAAGCTCCCTCTTGGTTAAGAAAAAAGACCGATCTTTGTTCCTCTCCTCAAATGGAAGGGTTGGGGCCATCCCCTGTCCTGGGACACCCCCGACCCCCACCCCGGGATCCTTGGGCAGCCGCTCTCCCTCTGCATCGGCCCTCAGAGGTGTCTTCCCCTTCCAGGAACCAGTGACACCAATCCTGCTGTGTCTGAAGATGCCTTATTCAGGGACAAGTTAAAACACATGGGAAAATGTGAGTCCAGCCTAGGCCCCCTCCCAGTCTCCCCTAAGACAGGACCTGTGGCCTCGGAGGAGGGAGGGAGCCTGGGTGTCTTTAAGGTAGTTGACTTGGGGTGAACCAAAATGACATTTTAGTCACAGGCTGGCTCCCTCAGCCTTCCTGCCTCACTTCCCTCTCTGCGGCTGAGTCTGGATACAAATTAAGTTTTAAATCCTCTTGAGCCAGCCGTCTGCAGAAAAATAATAATGTGCTGCACCCACCCCACCCCGTCCCCGTTACAGAGTTCACGTTCTCTGTGGCTTAAGGGGACTTGGCCCAGGCCCGATGAGTGGGGAGGCCCGTGCGAAGCCTCACTGTCTGCGGGCAGGAGGCCAGGGGGTCGGTGACCTCTCCCCTCAAAGTCCTGCTGGCCAGGACGCGCCTCCTCCCTCCCCCCCCCCCCCCCCCCCCCCCCCCCCCCCCCCCCCCCATGAGCACATGTGAACGAGGCTGCCATCCTTCCAGGCTCCATTTCAGGGAAAATCTCGGATTAGTCATGGAAATCCCAGAACCGCCTCTGGAGGTGGCGAAGGGGGCGGGGGAGGCGGCGGGAAAGACAGCCGAGACGCGGCAGTGTCTGTCACAGCTGGGGAAGGAGTACCCTGATCTCAGCCGCCTGCCTGGGCCTGGCCCCGCTCTTGGTGGCCTGTGCTGCCCCTGCAGGCCCCGCCAGAAGGGCAGCCTCCCTGCTTGGGGACGCCGGCCACCCGCTCCCATCCGGGGAGGGGGGTGGGGTGGGGCGGCCCGTGGCTGTGGCCCACGAGCCCAGGGCTCACCGGTCTCTCTGCCCCAGCCACCCGGAGAAAGCTGTTCGAGCTGGCCAGGGCCTTCTCCGAGAAGACCAGGATGAGGAAGTCAAAGAGGAAACACTTGTCCAAGCACCAGGCGTATCCTTTCCAGCCTGGCGCTGGGGGCCTGCGGGTGCCGGGGATGCTGATCCCCCTGGGCGGAGACCGCACCCTCCCTGGGGCCCGGGACCGGCTCTGCGGCCACCCCTCTCCTCTGCGTGCTCTGAGGCCAGCCCACCGCCCTACACGGACCACCACCGTGACCGGCCCCGGGGATGGGCCTGCATCGCCTGCTTCCTTCTGTGGGCTCCCCCGCTGTCCCCCCGCCCGTGTCTCCACTTTCTGGCCCAGCTAATCTGCTCTTGGGAGAAAAGTTGGTGCTTCCACTGACGTCAGCAAACCTCTCCCTAGTTTCCCGAGTGGAACTGACCTGTAGATCATGCCACCTCTCCACTTTCCTCTTTGTCCCCTGCCTCCTCACTTTGTCCCCTGCCTCCGCACTTTGTCCCCTGCCTCCGCACTTTGTCCCCTGCCTCCTCACTTTGTCCCCTGCCTCCGCACTTTCAGTTCCTTGAGGGAAAATAAGGTTTTCCACATTTTCACCCACACTCCCACCCATGCTTGTCACAAGGGAGCCAGGGTGTTAAGAGCTGAGCCGCAACCAGTGGGGAACAGGGAGGAAGCCCCTTTTCTCCCATCCCCAGAGATGGGAGCTGGGTGAGAAGGTCCGGCCCGGCTGCTCATCTGACCCCCAGGAGGCTTTGGGGAGCGCTGGGGAGAAGGCCCTACGGTGGGAGCCACCTGGGCTTGCGGTGGGTGGTTGAAGGCCAGGGGCGGGGAGCGCTACACCTGGAAGACGATGGCAGCCCCCCCCACACCCGCCCCCGGTCCCTGAGACGTTTTCCTGAATGGCCTGGCAGGCTGGGAGCTGCGGTGTCCACGGCTAATCTGCTGGACGACGTGGAAGGTCATACTTGCGGTGAGGCGAGGGGGGTGCAGGGAAGCTTGAGCTCTACATTGCTTGTGATGGGTGACCCTCCCAGAGGAGGGCCCCGGGGATTTCATGGGTGGGCCCACCCTGGGGGGATTACATCATGGGCATGTGGGCAGGTGACCCAAGGAAATGGGTCCTCCCGCCTGGCTCATGTTGCCTCGCCCTTCCTTCCACTCCCCAAACGGGGCCCCAGCCACACCTCCACCTAGATCTCTACCTGGAGCACAAAGTGTCAGGTGCTGTTTCTGGGGAGTCTTCTCTGGGGTGAGAGGGGGCAGGCAGGCCTACTCATGTGGAAGGGCCTCAGCTTGAGAACGAAGCGCTGTGCGGTTTTAGTCTCGGGGCCCGGCGGCCTTTCAGCATGCGTGCAGTCCCTCCCAAGGGCTGTGTGGGCCAGAAGACACTGCCTTCGACGCCAGGAGGCCCATAGCTGAACCTGATCCTAATGCCTCAGAGCAGAGGGCCCCTTTGGTCAGGAGATACCCAGAAGCAAGGGCCAGGAAGGTCTTAGAGGCCATAAGGAGGGTACAACATACCCATTTTACAGATGAGGAAGCTGAGGGAGGAACTTGTCCAAGGTCCCAGAGCTCAGCGATGGAGCCACACTGTGCCCTAGTGCCCTCACCAAACCCACATACCCGCCCCCCCACCCCAGAATCACCTTGTGCCCTAGCAAACAAGGAGGATGGGGAGAGTTGGGTCGGCTCCCTTGCCCATGCCTGGGTGACACCCTGCCCAGTGGAGGATGAGACAACTTCCCTCTGCTTTTCAGATGAAGACTTCCGGGGAAGGCATCAGGAGGCGCCCAAGATGGAGGAAGCCCTGCGGGAAGGACAGTAAGCGGTAAGGCCCGGAGTCACGGCTGTCTAGAGACTGGGCCTGCCATGCCCTCCCCGAGGAGTCTCAGGGTCCAGAGGCACTGGGCTCAGGCACTGGATGGCACTGATCCCGGTTTTCTTCTCTTGTTGTGAGACAGGACATGGTCTTCTGCATGGAATTCATCTTTTGCCTCCCTCCTTCCCTTCCTCCCTTCCTTCCAGCAAAGTAATCACACCTGCCTGTGCCAGATCCTGGGAAGAAGGGGGAAGAAGTCAGCTTTGCCCTTGATAGTTTACAGCCAAATTGAGAAGACGGTCCAGGACACACACTGCACAGTGAGAGGACCACTTAAGGGACGTGGCCTCACCACAGCCGAGCGCACACACACAACCCTCCCGCGGCCTGCCTGGGTTGGGGGTGAAGGACGGCCTCAACCCGATGAGGAACCTCTCTCCCCCTCTCTGTTAAAGTCCTGGGCCCTCAGGCTGCTTTTCCGTATCTTCTGTGCGAGGCGAGGCGGGGGCTGGGGGGGGGGAGGTGCGGCGCGGGGATCAGGGAATGTCAACACCTCCTCCCGGGCTGTTCCAGCTCCCTCCCAGTCAGGAAGCTGTTTGCCCGCCCTCCCCCTTCCCCCCTCCCCCTGGCGCTGTCCTACGAGGCTCTCCTGAGCTGACAGTGTGGCAGGTATGACCCTGGTTCAGACCGAAGCAATACTTGCTTCGCTCAGGATAGCTGTGGTGGAGGTGGACCAACCAGCCTGCGCAGCTGGCCTTCGTGTCACTTCGGGTTGACTGTCACATCCCCCAGGATGTGGGCGCACTGCGCCCCTGAGTCCCCCTGGGACAGAATGCCCAATACAGCCGGCGGGAAGGGCCGCCACCATCCAGAGCCACCCCACATCAGAACCTTGCCATCATTTACTTCTCTCCCAAGTCTTCGAGCTTTTCCTTTTCCAGCTCCTTCCTCAAGTCTATATACCCCATTCCTCATCTTAAAAGCCAAGAGGTTTCGCTATTTTCCTTCATTGCCCAACTTGCAAAAAAGTGGCATCCTCTCCACCATCCCCACATTGATACAGGAAGGTCACCAGGCAGGATCCACATGCCATGCACGCCTCCCCCCCCGCCCCCCCACCCCAGTGTCTGTGGCCCGGGACTCCTGGGCCTCCTTCCTCTCTGCTGTGTGCTTTCTGCTGCTCCCATTGCCCCTCAGGGTCCCTCTGTCCCAGCTCTCCCCCGAGCTCTGCCTCTGACTCTCTTCCAAGTGCTCTCACTCCTCTCTGGCATTCCACCGCTCTCTTTTACAGCAACAGCAGTGGTTGCCACTGCGCAGTGGGCTCCGGAGTGTGAATCTCCCTCTCGGTCAGCCCGCCACATCCACTCTGCACCCCGAGCTGTGCCCAGGATTCTTTCCGGCCCTGGGCATGAACTCACTGGAAGCCAGACAACACCTCTGGACTTCCCCGTTTCATGTCCCCCTCCCCCCTCATCCCCGCACTGGTGGACTCCGAGGCCTGGTTAGCGCTTGCTGGGCTCTGCGCTGTCCCTGCTCTGCTCACTGCATCTCCAGGACCCACTCTCCTGCCATGTCCCCCTTCCTGCCTGAGCGAGGACTCCCATTCCAGGCTTACGAACTCCCAGCCTGGTGTGTGGGCACCACCGAATTCTGGCCCCAGTTTATTTTTCTGCCCCTGAAGACCCCCTTGGTCCAGCTCATCTGAGCTACGACTGCGTCCTAAGCCACTTCCCCACCTCTCAGCCGTTACACAGCCGTTTCCCCCTGGACTTCCACCCCCTACTCTATCTCCAGCTGTGAGAGGCCCTGCTCCACTGCTGTTGTAGGAGCTCAGGTTTGGGGGGCAGGGCACGACCCCAGGCAAAGTTCCACGGCTGGCATGGACTCCCCAGAGGAAGGAGAGGGCGCCTGCCTTTGGTATCTTCTGCCCCAAACCCATCTCTCCAGGAACCACTGACAAGGAAAGACCACAGGGCTGCCCTGAAAGACTTCTTCCTTCTCTTTTCCCTTCCAGATGCCAGCAGCCCTCCTCACCAGCGATGAGCTGACCTGGCGGACGCAGCTGGAGAACAAAACCGGCCCGCAGCTGAGGGGCCCAGCTGCAGCCGGACCGAAGGTGCTTGCGTACTGAGGCCTCGGGATTCTCCGGCCCCAGTCCAGCCCAGACACTGCCACGCCACTGCCACTTTCATGGGACTTAGAACTTCGGAGTTTTGTGCTGTGATTGGAGGAAGGACCTGGGGCCCCTAGGGCCAGCAGCCAATCATAGCCCCTTTTGTAGCCAGGCTGTTCTTTGGGCGATAAGCAAAAATGCAGGAACCACAACTTGCCAACTCCCCCCCCCCCCATTTTCTTTTTAAAAAAATCCCAGAAATAGGCAAGGGTTGGAGTGCCCAAGAGGGCAGGATGGTGAAGCCTCTGCCTCCCTCCTTTCCCCATCTCTCCTTCTGGGCCACAGACACTGCCTGACACTCCCGCCTCCCCCATCCTTATCCCCAGCTCCCTCCTGGGCATCTTGGGCCCTTTATTCCCAGGACTCCCTGCATCCCAGCCTTTCCCCCAGGGCTGCTGACCCTTGGTACCACCCCTACACAGAGCTGTGGGTAGGAGAGCCCTGCGCAGTCACTCAGGCTCCCTCTGAGTTACGGGTCACTGCAGAGGAGAGGTATCTACTGACCGCCCCTCCAGCTGCCTCTGCTTGGGGTTGGCGTGAGCCCCCCAGCAGGGACAGGGGACGGTGGCCCCCGGAGCTGGAGGACTCTGGCCAGACAGGAGGCTTCTTTACTGTGGCAGAAGACAAGAGCCAGTTCTGGATGGGAAGTGGGGAGGGGGGTGCTTCAGCGTGGGGTGGGGTGGGCTGGGCTCTGAGCAGAAGTCCTGCTGTCACTAAGGGTGGGGGCAGCAGCTTCTGAAGTGATCCTTGAGAAAGTGCAGGACTGAAGAGCAAGGGGATGAGGCTGCCAGCCTGGGGAAGGGGGTGGGGGTGGGGGGCACCTGGGCCAGAAGGGCTTGCTGGGCGTCTCTTGCCGAGAACAAGGTGAATGATCCGAGGAGGCACACTCCGGTTCTACGAGCCTTACCGGGCACCGACCACTGCCAGTGGGAGGGTGGCTGGCCCAGACTCTCCGGCCAGCCTTCAAGACGGGACAGCGCTGACCTCTCCGGAGAGCTGAGCGCCTGGGCAGGCACGGGGCTTCGGGGCCCCCCCGCTGGGGAACCAGCCCAGCCCAACCGCTCGGGGTGGGGAGGTTGGGAGTGGGAGCCAAGCCTTGGAGGGGCCCTGGTGGCCGCAAGTCACCCCTCGATAATGAGGGCTTGGCGGGCGCGATCGCACCCAGCTTTCCGGCGTGAAGAGGCAGCCCCGGAGGGGATGGGGTGGGGGTCGGGACGTGCAGCGCCCAGGAGCCCGACCAAGTTTGGCACCCGCGCGGTGCCGGGGCGCTGGTGCGGGGCCGCCCGCCCTCTGCTGCTCCCTGCCACCCGCCTGTGGTCCCCGAGGAGCCCCTGGGCCGCCAGCCCAAGCTCTGGTCGGCCTGGGCTGGGGGGGGGGGTAGAGGAGGAGCCCCTGGGGGTGTGGTCGTGACCCCTCCCTGCGCATGGCGAGGAAGCCCCAGACCCATGTCTGTGTGTGTTGCTTTGTTAGTTGTTTTTCCTCCTATGTGTGGGTTTTTTCTTGGAGCTGTTTCATAGGAATTCCTGTAATAAAGACTTGGTGTTCTCTTGGTGCTCTGATGTGGCCGGCAGTGTGGGCTGGACCCTTCCTCCTCTCTTCGTGTCCTGGGCAGGGTTTGGCCCCTGGAGCCCCTTCTGCACCCCCCCCCCCCCCCGCATCTGAGGTCACCTGCTTCTCAGCTGCCTGGTTAACCAGTTAACCCACAGCCTCTGTAAGGCCCCAAGGGCCCAGCTTTCTCGCAGCGCACTCCCGAGGGGAGACCTGCCACCCGCAGGGTGACCTCGCCCACCTGCTGGCTGTGCTCTGCGCCGTCGCCTTCCTGTTTTGCCCCCGGGGAAGAAAACCGCTAGCTCATCGGCAAAGGAGGCCGCCAAGGCGAAAGCCGGTCACTTCTCCAAATATCCAGAAAGCTTCTGGAGTAACGCTGACCGGAGGCTGCAGGGAGGTGCAACGGCCCCTAGAGCTCTTCCCATTCCAGGGCCTCTACTTTCTTTCCCCTGCTCCCCAGCCGTGCAGGACTATCGCCCGTGCCAGGGCACTCCCTGCCCAAAGCGGAAGCTGCCGCCTTCTGCAGACAGGGCCCTTCTCAAGGTCAACAGGCTCTTGTTGTGTTGAGCCCACAGGCCTCCTTGTGGCTTTCACTCACGTCTTATTCTGGGTGCTCAGTCACCCAGGCCAAGGCCACAGCGCTTCCCTCTGCTGCCACCTTTGAGCTTGCTGCTGTAGGAACCATGTAGGTCCTCCCTCACCCCCAGTGAGACCAAGGTGAGACAGCTGGTGATGCTCTCCATGCATGCTGTTTGGATGTGGGCAAACCAAGCTTATCCTCTAATCCTGGCTCTGTGCATTGCAAACATATATATATATATATTTTTTTTTTTTTTGAGAGAGAGACAGAGCATGAGTGGGGGAGGGGCAGAGAGAGAGAGAGGGAGACACCGAATCGGAAGCAGGCTTCAGGCTCCCGAGCTGTCAGCGCAGAGCCCAATGTGGGGCTCAAACCCACAAAGAGCGAGATCATGACCCGAGCCAAAGTCAGCCACTGAGCCAACTGAGCCACCCAGGAGCCCCTAAAAAATATTTTTAAGTCATCTCTACACCCAACATGGGACTTGAACTTACAACCGCAAGATCAGGAGCATGCTTTCCTGACTGAGCCAGCCAGGGGCCCTGGTGTTGTGTGTTTTTTACTGATAGGTGTGTAACCCTGGAGCATAGCACTGGCACCTGGGGCCTTGTCAGAAATGCCAATCCTCAGCCCTCCCCAGACATACTGAATCAGAGATTCAGGGAGGGCAGCCCCCAGTTTGAGTCTTGTGTTTGGAAGCTACAGTGCCAGGCCACTGCCTCCTACTGGCTGCACAGTAGAATTACTGAGTAGCTGAAAAAAAAATCCCGGTGCTCAGTACCCCGGACCAATTAAATCAACAGCCATGGGGTGATTTATGTTAAAGCTCCTCATGGAATTCAAATTTGCAGTCAAGTTTGAGGACCAGCACACTAGGCAGTCTGGTAGGTGTTTCGTATCAGCTCAATTAATCCAAACCACTTTACAGATGAAATGACAATTCAGAAAGGTTGTCACTTTGCAAGATTGCAGAGCTAGCAAGGTGTGAAGCCGGGAGCGGGGCCCGGGGCTGCCTGAGTCCAAATGCTGTTCAAAGTGTGCTCTGTGGACCCGCAGCCACGGCACTACCGAGCATATTAGAAGTGCATGTGCTATTAGATATGTGTGTTAGGGGGCCCTACTCCAGATCTATGGAAGCTCAAACTGGGAGTATTTTAACAAGCCCTCCAGGTGACTCTGATACACGCCAAGTTTGAGAAGCACAGTTCTGCAACCTTGCTACCAAACTTTGGTCTGCGGACCAGCACCATCTGTATCGCCTGGAGCTTGATAGACACACACAATTTCAGGGTCTACCCTAGACTTGCTGGACTGGAATATCCATTTTATTTTTAGTTACGCATTTATTTTTTAATAGTTTCTTTATTTTTGAGACAGAGACAGAGACCGAGCGGAAGAGGGGCAGAGAGAGAGGGAGACAGAGAATCAGAAACAGGCTCCAGGCTCTGAGCTAGCTGTCAGCACACAGCCCGACGCGGGGCTCGAACCCACGAACTGTGAGATCATGACCTGAGCCGAAGTCAGATGCTTAACTGACTGAGCCACCCAGGCAGGCGCCCCTTGAATGTCCATTTTAATTTTTTTTTTCTAAGAAAGAGAGCAGGGGAGAGGAGCAGAGTGAGAGAGAATCCATGCTGAGCATGGAGCCTGATGTGGAGCTCGATCCCACAGCCCTAGGATTATGACTTGAACTGAAATCAAGAGTCGGACACTTAAGTGACTGAGCCACCCCGGTACCCCTAGAATGTCAATTTTAATAAACTCTTCAGGTGACTTGAATGCACACTGAAGCTGGAGAAACACTACTCTAGCACACCTGTTCTCAAACCTGCTCTACACTGGAATTCTTTTTTTTCAGGTTTATTTATGCCTTTTAGTAATCCCTACACTGAATGTGGGGCTTAAACCCACGCTGCCGCGATCATGAGTTGCACATTCCTCTAACCCTCTTTCCAGCCAGGCACCATATACTGGGATTATTTCTAAAACTTGGGTCCCATTCCCAAAGATTCTGGTTTCATTGGTTTGGGATTTAGCCTGGAAATCAGAGTGTAAAAGCACCTCAGGTGATTCTAATATGCAGCAAAGTTTGAGAACCACTCACTCTTTTGCCTTTTAGTTAACAACTAAAGGTAATTGTATCCAGAGAGGGGAGGTGGGGAGAGAAGGCAAAGAAAGTGTCCCGGATAGGACGGAGACGCACAGCAGATGAAGCTTCTGCTCCGTGATGAGTCCCTCTGTGCTGAACAGCATTTATGGGACCTAGGAGGGTGTCAGGCTGGGCCAGATACCCCCTTACCCATCTGTCCTCACATGCCAGGCTCCTCTGCAGATATTGGGCTCCTGGTATCCACAAGGTGATCCTTGGAGATTGACCTCCTGCTAAACCACTGAGCCGGGCTATCTGGAGTCTGGTCCAGCTAGTGCCTCTCCTCCTTGCTTCAGTGTCCCCAGGGCTCAACCCAAACTTGAGAGGAGATCATGGGTCTGGAGATTGCTGTGCCCAGAACTGGCCTGATTATTACCATCCTGGGGTCTCCACCCTCCCTCTGTTCACTTGAGGCACCCGGTAGAGACTTGAGTTTGGAGAAAAATCAGGAGGAGAATTTGGTTTGAAGAAGGCAGAAGATGGGCAAGATACGGGATGATGAAGATGATAGCTGCTTATTGAGTGCTTGCTGTATGCAACTTTTCTGGGGAGCTTTATATACATTATTTTACATAATCCCCATAACTATTATATGAAATCAGTATTATTACTTGCATTCCACAGATCAGGAAACTGAGGCACAGAGATGATAAGGTCCTTACTCAACAGGCCCCTCAGTAAGTGGTAGAACTTAACTACCCAGGCAGCCAAACTCGAAAGTTGGTACCTAAACACTAAGCTCTACATTGGCGCAGGGGGAGAGGTGATAAGACCTAGAGCCCCTCCATAGACACGATCTGTTGAACCAGAAAGTTCTGCCTGCTTAAAAACATCTCCACAGTGACGTGTGATCCAACAGTGTGCCTGGAACTCACCGATTAGCATTCTTTATTTGGTTTTAAAAAC